CAGCGGGAGAGACAGGACGAGGAGATGGAGGGACTGAGTGAATTGAGGAATCGGGAGTGTAAGGCGGGGTGTCGGGAAAGATACATTCGGTTAAGGCATCTGAAATAGCAGGTGAAGGAGGAGGACTCTCGACTGGATGATTATCTATTAAATTATTGTTATCTAAATTATTGTTAACATGATTGTTATCTAAATTATTATTAACCTGATTGTTATCTAAATTATTATTAACATGATTGTTATCTAAATTATTATTAACATGATTGTTATCTAAATTAACATGATTGTTATCTAAATTATTATCATTACGGAATTCTTGGTAGGCTTCCTCTAAAAGTCGACGGGCCTCTCTCAACCGTTGGGCCCTTAATCGCTTAGCTGCACGGGAAAGGCGTGCGCGTTGTCGATCACTCACTACAATAATTAAGTGACATGCTTTATTGTCAGGCTCTGCATAACAAGGGGAAGGGAGATAAAAAAAGAGTGAAGCTCACGTATTAAGCGGACTTCCAAATAAGGAATATAGAGTTCATCGAAGAAATCGATGAACGTGGAAGGATAAGGATGACAGGTGAATTATGGAATCAACATTGAGAGTGTAGAGACTGAGAGGGGTTAAGGCGATGCTAAAGCCTCCTGTTTTACCCACATTTCCATTCGATGAAAAATCTCTGTATTGGATCTCTGTACGGATTGCAAAAGTATTATTGCTTAAATTAAAGTACGCATAAACAGGATCTCAGCTGCACTGGATTTCATGAGAAAATCGAAAAAGTTTCAGATTCGTTAAAAATTCCCTTACTTTTGGCTCGTACAACTGTCACCTCAGATTTATATTTGCTTGATATAAGAGTTTTAGAGTCCATATCTTGAAAATAAGCGTGCAGCTGAGGTCACATTATTGAAACGAACGATACCGAGTTTGTAGAACTAAGATTGAAAGTCTAGAAAAGAAATATTTCCACCGAATAGAAAATACGTGTATACAGATGTTTTGCGAAGACTTGGACTGTCAACAGAGCCGAAATTCCGTGTAGCAGTAGTTGCGCGATCTTGCGATAGATGGTGCTGGCATATGTTAGATAAGAACAGATGTATGCGTTTGAGTAAGACAGAATGATATATATTATATAATATAATGTAAAAACTAAATCAAAGATGTCGCCACTATTATCGAAATTAGAATTAAAAAAGTTTGTACTATCAACCTTGATTGAGTTGGGTAATCGGTTTAGCATCCCCTTAATGTTTCTATAGAGTGATCTGGTTAGATTCGCGAGGTAAATAATTAAAAAGAGTAACTTACTGCTGTTTAGCAGCTTCCGGACTTCGCAATGATTGCCGGTGGTCCGATCTAGGTAGAGGTCGTGTGCAGGATTGGATCCCGAAGTGGCCTCAGTTGGATGTCTGGAGACCTCCACTCGAAACTTTTTCGCGACTAAGATCGCTGATTGCGCCGATTTGATTGCGGCGATCCGGTCGCGGACCGACGATAACTTTCAACTGACTTTAACTGAATTTGATTAACGGACCGGCAGAGGTTCGCTCTAGGTAAGTAGTTTAAGAAAAACTATGCTCTGTTTGTGAAGGCCCTCCTTTTATATTCGCTAGTTAGGAGTGCCGTGTGCAAGTCTAGTGTGTGGCATTAGGCTTATCTAGGATTAGGATTAAGGGTATCGGTTATGAAAAGGGATACTGAGATATATGTCTTAAATGATTCTTCGTCATCGACCATTTGCCAGATGTTCGATAGCCATAGAGCCACACTTGTTATTTATTAAGGACAACCACTGTTTCGGTTATAATCCTTAACGACTCTGCCCGAGTGGATTACTTCCTAAAAAAAAGGGGCGAGTGTTAATCGGCTCGCAGCTATCGAAACTTCCTATGGCAGATACAGTTGGTCTACCGGTGTTACTTGTTAATGATCCTTATGGTGATGACGAAAAATTCTAATCGAAGAAAAGAACAGTGGAGTCTGGACGTAACATCAATAAGGCACTATATTCTCTGTTGCATACAGATTCGCTGTAGTAATGCTTTAATAATCCGCATGAAGCTTTCCACCTCCAAGTCTATATTGGCTACTTCTTTCTCTTCTTGACGCTGAGCACTTTGAATAGGTGGTTGAGTAATCATTTGCTGACTCATTGTAACTAATGTTCCCGCCAGTTTATCCAAATTATTCATGTCGGCATCATTTTTAACTTTCTTTTTGTTAAAGAACCTATCTGGAGATGATGTCCGAGGGATTTGCTTCTTTGTTAAACGTTTGTAAGTGGCTCTAGAACAATTAGCTTTCGATCCAATGTCGCTCTCTGAAATACAATATTCCATAAACGTTAATGTTAACAAATAACTTTGTATATGAATGTATACAGCTATTCAATACCTATAATGTTGCAATGTGGGACTTTGTCTAATTTTTGCAAATTGCGTTCTTCAGAATCACAAATCTCATTTACGTCACTGGGTGTATTGTTCTATTGCAACTGAACCCTATAGGTGGGACTGGAATGTCCTTGTGATATTACACTATTAGCATATACGGAACTTGAGTAGGAATGTTTTTCTGACATTGGACTGTTAGTATGTTCAGAACTTAAGCAGGAGTGCATTTCTGACTTTGACCTGTTGGTACAAGCAGAACTTGAACTGGAATACACTTGTGACTTTAGACTATTGGTATGTCGAAGAGACCTCGAGGAGAACTCGAGCTGAATTGTGATTGTTGTGACGAACGTTTGTTAAATCCAAGGACAGCTATATTACGGTCGTTGCTCTGATCTGTTCTTGACTTCAATACTGACTTAGCAAATGTATTTGACTTTGTACTGAAAATGACAAGAATTATAATGATTCAATTATTAAAAATAATTTCTAAATTAATGTAACTTGAGTATATTTACTGAGACGTGGTTTTATGACGTCAATCAGAAAGAGCAGCTCCTCATAAAGCGGCCAATCTGGCTGATAAATGGGCCAGTTTGACCCAGCATCAGATCTAGGTTGAGATTCCCTTACTTTTTTATAGTAGCGACCAAATGTAGTTTGCAATGTGCGAAACCTTTTTGCTGCATCAGTCCCTAAACAATTAAAAGTTTATTTCAGCGTCAAAATTAACAACTTAAAGTTAGAACATTTATATATTAAGTCTGTGTTCCAAACTTACTACCAGCACTGAAAATGCTATAATTTACGTTACGTGCACTTTAAATTTTCAGTACTGGCAGTCAATTTTGGAACACGGCCTAAGTAAGTAAGTTTTCATTTTTACCTGTCATTTCAATTGGCAAAAGTGATACTACAGACTCCCAGGCCATGTCTCTTTCTAAAATATTACTGTACTTCTTAGAACTCTTGTCCCAGAGCCCTAGATTAACTTTTACAAGCCTTATTAACTCTATATCTACATTATCTTCATTAACGCTCTCGTCCAGAAAGTATTCATTTTTTAAATCACTCATTGTTATGAAAATAAAATTTTCTAACCTTAATCTTGTAAAATCCCTTTGTGGTTTTCCTAATCTTAATCTATCAATAATTATACGATACACGAAAACGCGCGAGCAAGTAGAGGGGAGCTCGATACTATTGGCTGTCGCAAAATCGTAGAGACGCAAGGTTTGGTTTTAGCCAAACTCTGCAATTGCTGCTTGCGACACGCAATTTGCAACCGCAATTAGCACTGCTTGCGTCCATGCGATTTGCTGTTTGCGTCCAATGTAGAACCAGTTTTATGTTCAACGGTTCGTACCACCGTTGCACATAATTCGTAATGTTTCGTCTCATAACATAAGATCTCACTCGTGGCCTCTTCTAGGGCTGCGTTCAGATACTACACTCGGGAGCGCCCAAGCTTCCGAATGCCGTTCAGAAACCAATTGAGAGTATCTCAGCATTACTTAGGTGGCCCGTTCAGAAACATGTCGGGTGTTTCCGATCGGGAGACTTTTGCACCCTGCTCTTTTGTTAGGTGGAAAGTCTCTCGATCGAGTTGGCACACAAAGCGCGGGAAGCGAAACTGCTGAACGTAGCCCCAGTTCTGCCAAACCCCAACATGTACTATAGATGCTGGGTCTATCTTATATGTCTATGGGTGAAACAATGCGCATAATGGCGGCTGCTTAAAATTTTAACCAATCAAATTTGCCCGATGAGGAAACGCGCTAATTTTTAATGTAATTTTTAATGTAATAAGTTATTCGGAAATAAAAATACCGTATTTATATTAAAAATTATTCATATTTATTAATATAACGTCAAAAATTGCAATTTTAAAATAGTAAATAACAAGAAATAATGTAATACAAAGAAAATAAACAAATACAATTGAAATAAATGAATAAAATACACGTCTAAAGTAAATAAGTAACAAGTATACAGGTATCAAAGAATAATGTTACAAATATGTTTTCATTTCTTTTTTCTTATTTTTTTGACTATTAGTCATTGTTATCATTTTATTTTTTTGTTTCAATCTGATGTACGTTCTCGTTAGTATTAAACTTGCAAGAACCTCTCTCGAAAATGTATACTTTATCTTCTTGCACACTATTTCGGTTAACTTATCAAAAATTTTATTTTCGACACTGAAATCATTGCCATGAAATGCAATTCGTCACTTCTGCAACTTTTAAGAAGTTCGTAGAAGGACGAATGCGATTTCCTCGAGAGATATATGACAGCTAGTCATCAGCGGGAGCCATCATTTTGGTTTTGCAACCTAAATCAGGATATTTCTGTCGAAATACCCTGATATATGATGTCATATATCAAGATATTTCATATGATGCCATATCATATGATGTCCATCATGCGCTGACCCTGGATTTTACATCACCGAGCATATTTGATTGGTTCACCCATGGTGTAATAAGCAAGGTGAACCATTGCGCATAATGGCGGAGGTCCGTAATCTTGACCAATCAGAGCTGTACTATTTTGCGGCGCGAACAATCGATATGTTTGAAAATTAAAGAGAGGAGTAAGAAAGTGTAATGACTTTTAAAAGGAAATGATAGTGATTTTTAATTAAAAAATCGACTTTCTTATCATCTTGGCTCTCCCCACGGGTGTACGAAGAAACATCTTTTCTCTTCGATTGGTTCTGTCCTCACAGTATGAATTTCATTATTTAAAAGATCTACACCTATATTCATCGATTTCCACAAGCGTGAATTTGTAGGTCCCAAATCACTTGTGACTGCAACAACGATATAATCCTTTTCATAAAGACGTGCGATCGTTTCCAATAAAATGTCTTTTGTCATGGCTGTATCAAAATCATAAAATATTGGTTGTTTCCATTTACCAAAAAGACTTCGCGCCATTATGAATTGGCAGGTTTTGTGCGACCCATATATTTTTTGTTGACGACGCTCTAAGTCGATTTTATTGGAAATGTACACTTCATCGAAAGATAATACAGTCAGCTTCTCTATGATATTTAAATCTTGTCCCTTATCGTGCATTATGTTCAAAACATCTTTCAATACACCCGGTTGGACATTGAAATTTGCACTCCAATTTTTTAAAGTTTGCACGCAAGGCAAAGGAAAGTTTTTTATTGTCCGCAAGTAATTATACGCTTTAGCACTAACTGAGTGAAGGGCAATCGCAGAGGAAATATCTTCAGCCGACCAATTAATACGTTTCTTCTTTGAAGACGTAAGCTTTCTGATCTGTCCTGGCGTAAAAACTGTACTCAACGTATCATATGCCATTTTTTCAGCTTTATTTTCCGTGTTCTTTTCAAGTTGGAGGAACTTGTTGTCTTTTTCAATTAACTCCTTTTTTAGATGCTGATTAACTTCGACGAGCTGCGCATTAACAAGACTGAGTCTTTCATTGTCTTCTTGCAAAGTTTTCAGAATCCTTTCCGTTTCATCATTAAATTGAATATCCATTTGACTTCTGCAAAACATACATTAAATATAAAAATTAATATAACATAGTACATGAACGTGGGGCATTTAAAACCAAGTGTGAAAAAATAATCAAACTAAATTTAAATTGAATATAGAACTCTCAATATTAAAACACAACAATTAACCATAAACAGGACTAATGAGAGTCATACGCAGATATATGAGCGCAATTATTCAGTAACAAATTATAAATACATACGATTGTATTGTTTCGGCACATTCCAATGGCACGTCGAGTCTACTTTCCATTAGCTCTTCTGGCACTTGACTTTGTACCGGCATCGTACTGTTACTGAAATATTGATAAATAACATTATTACGTAAAATAAATCTTACTAATATGAATTACGAGGTTTATTTGTAGTCTTTGATGTTCTGTTACATAACACAACTCAGAATTGTTTCAACATAAATTCGTTACTTACCCTCTACTAATTCTTTGTTTCCTTTCTGTTTCGATATTCAGATATTCAGTCGGTACTGCATCTTTCTTCAATCGTCGAATCACTCGTGATTGATTTTTCAAACGTTGTTCTGTCCACTTTTCTTCTATGCAGTCCACTAGAAAATGTCGCTCACATACTACATCTGAAAATAACGTTTCTTAAAGTTTAATATAATCTATATCTCTATATCTCTATATCTATAGGTTTTATAATTTAGTTTATAAATTTGCATTATTAATTACTACATCATTGCAACAGTTATTGACAAACAAAATATGAATTATAAACTCACTGTATGTTTGTTTTAATTCTTCTTCTTTGCGTTTGCAGGCCTCAAGCCACTTCTTTCTTAGGTTAGGCTCTTTAGGAAAATAGTAAACCTTACTACTTCCTTTAGCACGGCCTGTCCGCGTTTTACAATTTCGTATGCAACACACTGGCATATTACATACAAAATTGTCTAAATATAATTTTAATAATTTAATGAAAAGCCAAAATCGATAAACGTTTTATTTGTTTTGACAACTTCAGACACTCAGCGCTCTGTAAGCGGCCATATTCAATTCCTGCAAAATAGTCACAATTTGATTGGCTGATGCTCCCCACTACTTTTAACCCACTGCGCATCCATCGGAATGATTCACCTTGCTTATTACACCATGGGTTCACCGTTCCCCACTTCTTTTAAAAACTCGATCGAGACAACCGTTTTTGAGATCCGATAACCTCTGTCTGACGCAATTCGCCAATTCGCGTAATAGGGGAGTCAAATTAGACAAAATAAGGCCTTTACTTGGAATAATTCCGCGATCCATATTTTTGGATGAAACTTTTTGCATTCGCTTCCAAATAGTGTTAATTAAAAATGTGTCCTCTTAAAAAAGTGTGCTAATTGTACATTTGTTTAATAACCACAATTAATTGTAAAATTAGTTGTTAAATTAAATATCTCGAAAATAAATCGATGAAAAATTATGAAAATGGTTTCTTAGGGGTTTTTGAGGGTGCTGAATACGAATTTGATGTTAGATTTTAGAAATTCAAAATGGCGGACTTAAAGTGGCCGATGTAAAATGTAAAATATTGTAAAAGTCGCAAAATAAATTGATTTTTTGAGGTTTTCTGAGTGTGATAATTTCGAACTTGATTTTATAGTTGACAGTTTCAAAATGGCGGATTCAAAATAGCCGATCAAAATATATAATAAGTACAAAAATCATGAAAAATTAAAAATAATTACTGCCTTAGGACTTTCGAGCACGAAAGTTGCAAATTTGTTTAAAATCGTTTTTTAATTCCATGTCGTTGTCTCTTTATATGCACCATCTCCGAAATCAATCTTTTGTTATACGATGGTTCGATGTCCAAAACCTTCACGTCATCCCATCTAAAATCATGATTTTCTACTAATCGATGATTAGAAATAACCGACGGAGATTTAGACGTCTTATTAATATCGGAGATGTGTTCCTGTACCCTCGTTTGCAAACGCCTCTTCGTTTGTCCAACATAACTAACATCACACCCATCACAAGAGATCTTATACACAACGTTCTGATTTTTTAATGGTTCTAATTTATCTTTGCCTCTCTTTATTAGCCCTTTAAGAGTGTTAGGAATTGTATAAGCTAATTTACAATTAAAAACATTAGTGAGTGGTAAAAAATTCTCAGATATCGACTTAACATATGGAATTGTAAAAAACTTATCTTTAACTTTGTTAATATTGGTTAAATTTTTATTATTAATATGAAACTTAATTCTATTATTAATCGCTGAAAAAATGAATTGAATTGGATAACCATTATTCAAAAAAATTTGGATAGCATTAATTAAATTTACTTTATGAAAACGAGGATGACATAACCGGATGATTCTGTCAACAATTCCATAAACAACGCCTCTCTTGTGACAAATAGGATGATGTGAATTAAAATTTAAAAACCTGCCTGAAAACGTGGCTTTCCGATATCCATCAAAAACCAATCTCCCCTCCTCCACAATAAGTAAGGTATCCAAGAAACTAATCCTACCTTCCCTATCAAACTCAACCGTGAACTGTAAACGTGCGTGTAACGAGTTAAAAATCTC